TTAATTATTTGGAGGTTTGGCAGATTTTCGTAATTTGACTTAACCCAATTGTTTTTTCACAATTGGATCAAATCAAATTAAGCAAATCTGCCAAATGTCCTATTAATTACTGGTTTATATCTCAAGTTATTAGCCCTAGTTGATCAGCGTTCACTGATCGCTAGCTGTCTGGACTACTAGCCTTCGTTCGGCTGCTGGCGGGTCTCGATAGTGAGTCCCAAAGCAGAGCGGAATGCGTTAGTTCCGTAAGCGACCGGTGAACATCCGTCAACGCGTGTTACAACACGTGCCTATCCGTTTGGGCCTTGGTGCTCAATCTAGAGCCCTCGCAGGCAATCTTCTAGCAACTGGGGATAATTTGAAGAGGCTAAGAGTGAAAAGTCGAGAGGTTGGCTACGCGACTCCGTCTCACAATCGCATTTTACCCATGTATGCTGGATATAAAACCAGCGGCATACGTCAACTATCTGAAATCTTGTCTTTAAGACGCTGTCTCAGTATATTCGAACCTGAACGTTAACAATCCATCTACTTGTTTTGTTTGACGATGACGCAGAAAAAATCAATTTTCTGACCAAATGTTATTTTTTGCGCAGTTACTCTTGGCGCCCACGAAACTCCATTAACGCTCAAGACCCCCTTCTCACGCTTTTGCCCGAATTTGATCCATATTCGCATGCACGCAAACAAACACACACAGGCACATAGTGGAAGACAGGAAAAATCCCACGCGTTTGAAAATGCAGAGAAAGAGAGCAGTGCAGCAAACAAAACACCGAAATTTCACGCACACTTGATATCCGTCGCGAGTAATTTTGAGCAAAAAATACCCGGCTTTTGTTATCCTCCGTCGATGCCAGATCCACATTTTGCAGTAGAAGTTAAATTGTGTCCTGCCTTATTTACCAACGTATTCTGTGCATTTTTCAGGTGTGTTTTTGAATAGCAGGACCGTGATATTTCATACCAGATCTTGTAGAAGTATTATGGAAATGAGAAATCCCACCTCGCACATTTCTTTCCAAAAGTAATAGATATATTTAAGGAATGCTTTAGAAAAATTAGGAAGTTACACTGAAGACTCAAACTGAATACGAAGAGTTGTGCAATAATCGCGTACACAGATATATACTTCGGGATCTTTTAACTATTTCAGTAAGCCCACATGGAATACTATCCAATCTCCTATAAAATCTAAGTGGATAATGAAGACCAATTATGACGGTAAGCGAAAGGTATATTTTTTCTCCTCTTAAAATGGGACACCTATTTCATTTTCCCATAAAATAATATTGATTGAGAAACAGAATAGGCGGACTGGGTGAGACATCGTGGTCTCCTCTGATAGCTACGTTTATCAAACTAACTGATTATTGGACAGAAACCTGCGAACATCGCGCTCACGTGGCTTTGTATGTTACGAAACCAACTTCACACCGCGTGTAATAGAAAGGGATAGGGAACCGCAATTAACTACTTGTCAGTTAAAATCTCATTTCCGTCTCCCTTGTCTTGGTCGGCAATGTTTCTCTGTCTATAATATTCTAGCTGCTATTCTAGCTGCTTGTGGGTTTCGAGAATGAGCCCAAAGGTCTAACGAGACGAGTTAATTTCGTAACCACATCGGTTAGTGCCATTTTATCATAACTGCCACAATTACTTATCGGGTTTTAGCTCATGTTAAGCCTTTTGGGAGCATTCAGTTGTAAGTTCAATTTGTATTTAGTGAGCAATCTTATTAAAAGTAAATAAAGGTTTCCAGAAATTCATATTCATTAGGTTAAGCTATTATCCATAATTCAGTTTTTCAACGCCTCCGATGAACTGACAAACAAGCAATCTCTTCCGAACTCATTTGAGGACAAACTACATCATCTGTTTCCCCAGTAGGACGCTCGGCCGTAAAAAAAAGTCCTAAATTTTTAGGTGTGACCCATTTGCATGCTAGTTTTTATCGATTTCAGGAAGTCAGGTTGGGCGAACGAACGCTTTCGATCATTCATCATCAGACAAATACAATAATATAAAGGATGGTGAATATTTGAAAACCCTCGTCCACCTTATTTGACTTCCTGAATGCACATATAGTGTCAACGCTGAGCTTAGCAATTCCAGAAAGTATCCATGATGTAGATTGAGAAAAATACTCTTATTAAGGATTATGAGACGGTCGCGAATAGCATAGCATTTAGAATTTAGATGTCTTCCTGGAAGGACAAATAAAGGCAATATGTAGATGGTCTTCTCACCTTGTGAAATCGAAGACCTTCACTCCACGCCTTCAGTCCCGCCTCGCTGGTTGTGGCAATGACGATGACGGAATCAGTATCGACGAAACCCACAGTGGACGGCTAAAATGTACGTGCAAGACAATAGCGTTTACTGAGTTTGTTGATTTTGACAAAGTGGAAAAGTGGGTATGCATCTTCGATGCCAAATGAAAAGGGGCAACAAATAAAATGAGTTCTATAAAGTACAAAGCCCATAGAAACGTATATGTTGAATCATTTCAAGGAGGAAAATCAACTGCGCACAGTCAACTTCAGAGTCTGGGATGTGATCCACGCAGTTGGGCTGATGATATACGCGTGGGACGTGGTTCCCAAGGTCTGACACCGGATTTCTTAATGCAGGTGGTGGCGGCGGCTAACTATATTGGAGTTGGACGGTACGTGAAGCCCCCTCCTGCCAGATGCCAATTGATGCGCGTCAGCCCCAGTGGCATTCCCTTGTATTAGGGGCGCGAGCAATGTCAATCTAATCGTGAATTGCATTGCCTTCCCCCCACCTGTTTTTTTGCTCTTACTCACACTTAATCCCTTTGGCTTTACACTGCCGCATTTTCTATGTGTAACGGTAGTATACTTTGACAGCTGCGCAGGGCTGTGTAATCCACAGGCAGGTCCATGCGGCAGTTAGTTCTGCGATCGGCGGACACTACGGGGCTCTCAGGATGGTCCTGCCGTTTGATCGAGACCAAAACCCTGGTACCTCCATAAGATTGAAAAATACGCATAATTTGGGCCGAATGCGTTATCCACTGCAACTGAGATTCTGCTTGCCCTAGCATTATTTGTTTCTCAAAGAGGACATAGCAGAATTTTATGCAGTTCCATAGGTCGTCTCTGATGGCTTTATCGGTGTGTTTTTATTACGATTTTAGTAGAGGCTTGTCAAAAAACGTACATAATAGCATGCCGAACAAAAGAGTTTAAGTATCCAAGCCCCTCAATGACGCTTCTCATTGCTTTGAGTTCAAGGACGTTTGCCAACCTTTCCTTTTATAAAAATAAAATGCATCTCCTTAAGGTACTCATTCACGTACAGCAGCAGCCAAGCTGATGCCAGTGCTGCAGTTTATTGGTTACATTAGACAATACAATAACAGATCCCCGTCGATTTCGAAGATATCCACCATGTGCTTCACAACAGGGTGGTGAAAGGGTGGTGACTTGCGCGTGGACTTGTTTTAAATGATAGCAGACTTGTGCTGCATTTACGTCCCTCTCTGTTCCATCACCCCACCTGTGCTTGGTGTGAAGACAGAGTCAATAAAATGGGAGGCGGGACCGGGCGCAGGTGGCTGGCGTGGCCGAAGCTGTCCTACACGTTAGACCACAACGCCTTTCCCTTGCTCAGCATTTGTTATGGGAGCGCAGCCCGAATGACGCCTGCCGTACCCTGATCTGCCCCTCGTGTTAGTCCAGTGCATCCATTACGCGGTCTGTCTATGCGACAATACCCGAACCCACCACCAGGTGCCCTCGAGAAATACGCTGACCCGTTTATTTATCTACCGCCACGTACTAAACCATATCGAATATTCTGCTCTTTTCGGCGTTCGAGTAGTTTTGCAGTAAACTGGAATGCTTCGTTTAAGTTGTGCCTTTATTTCAGTACGTTTTTAGCCCGCTCGAGTAGCACAGCCTTGTTTTATGAAGCCAAGACGGTCCAAGTAAGCGGGAAGCCAATCATATACCGACTAATCGTTCCCCGCCCCCATAGTACTCCGGCTGAAAGGCAGGACAGTCGTAAGTTAGTGACACCTAAACTAGGCCTTTTTATCGATTATCCCGCCATGCGCGCCATAGCATCTCGCTGAAGAGGCCGCTTGTCAATGACTTTTGTTTCGGCAAAAGTGGACAACCTCTTGATAGACAAGGAATCCTAAGCGCCTTCGACTGCAAACGACTCCAAAAAATTTGGGAACAGTATAAACAATGCGATCGAAAAACAAACGTTGAGTCAATCGGTCCGAATAACGGTTTTTAGGCACATTGATATATATAGTTGAGCCGCTGTCCATAAGCCAAAGCGAGGCAACCACATCATATGCAAAACTGTCGACTACTTACTTATTACGAGTAGTATAATGACCGGTATTTTTTGATTACTTTGCAGTGGGTCAATACGTTGTCGACAGACTGTCAGTGGTTACCGCGATATGCCATGCTCGCAGTACATTTTCTCTGCATGCCGTCGGATGACCAAAGGCCACGTCCTAAAAAATGCCGAATTTAGGCCGCCAGGGAACGCCACACAAACAGACAGTTTCTCTCTTCACTCACCAGAAAGACTATTGAGAAGGGCGTGGGTGACTGGAAGGGATCCTTGTCTGTGCGGGCTCCGCGAGCGACATAAGCGTCCATGGTAGTCAGGTCCAACAGAAAGTCAGAATTCTTTGATTTCTGAACAGTAAAAATATGAGCAGGGCGGAGAAGGTGGGAGGGGATTGTCAGCATGCCTTTAATTAAATCTAAAAGCACCTAATTAGTGAATGTACACCAGAACGCTAGGACAGGAGTCAGTAGAAAACGTAAGAAGGAGTCTTCTAGTAGTAGTAGTGGTAGTAGTAGTAGTAGTAGTAGTAGTAGTAG